TATATATATATATATATATATATTCATGGGATTGAGCTGCAAGCTACCTATCTAATCATTTGTTTTTATTATGTGCATAAACCATGGGAAAATCAAATGCCCATGTGCAAAATGGACCGCCATTTAATTTTCTACCAATCTTGGAGAAATTTTCATTTTCCTTGTTTTAAAAAAACCTTCAATTCCACTACTAATTAACAGGTCACTGATAACATCACCACCGCGTATTCTCAATCACAGCCGAACTCGTAGGATTAGAACGTACCTCAACATACTTTACAGCCTCTAGCATTCCCCACTTCCTGGGTGTTGAGCGGAGAGATATGCCACGCGTCGAGCGATGAATGTGCACTCCACGTGGTGTTTTGTGGAAACTCCCAACATAGGAACGGCTTTGATGTGGATCATATCAAAGTTACTTGTCGGTTGTGGGATAACATGTGAAAGTAGTTTCAAAACGAACAAAAAGTGCCACGTGCCAGTCAGCATGATCATAGCGCGTTGCGTGCCGTATGCCCTGACGGTTTCGGGTCTGAAAAGCTACAGTTTGCCCACTCCCTTCGACTACTGCACTCTGCTGAGCTTACTCCGTACTAATTTCACAATACATAAATACCCTTCGCTCTTTCTTCGTTTTTTAAACAAAATCGAATTGTTTTTCCGATCTTCACACTCAACTCGATTCTATAATTAAGTGTATATGCAGTAAATTTTTTATAAATTAATATCTTTACATTATGAAAAATTATTTATTAATTAAGATACTATTTAATTAATAAATTAATAATTTATATATTAATTAATAAAAATTTAATTTATCATTTTTTTTTCAAAATTATTATGAATAAGTAAATTTTATTTACTAATTGACAATATCAAATTCGACTTTGGGCCTTATGAGTATATAAAACAATAGAAAATTAGAGAAAATAAAATAACCCCACAAACATCCAATTTTGGGGAGATTGGACACATAAATCTAGTTTGCTTCAAAGAACCGCAGTTTAGACAAAAAGTTTTAAAGTCTACTCTTGTCCAAAAGCATAAAGATTAAATGAATAAAAAGTATCAAAATTCTACTTTTATATCAAATATTGAACTTAATAGACATATTTTGTATTATAATTATACAAATATTACTTAATTATTAAGTTATGAATTATCATTATTTTATGCATTTATTTAATCAAAATAGATTCATAAATGTAATTAGTCTTATTAAATAGAAGTTATGAATTAAGCTATTTTTACAAAAAACTAAAATTACATTCAATGAAAATTTAATTAATATACTTCATTGACATTAAATCAAGTAAAAACATTTATAAAAATTAAGAATATATAATATCACAAACAGTAAAATTAAATACAAGGACTTCTTATCTCAAAAGTATAAAGAAATTAATAATGAGAAATAAAAATTTAATGTACTAAAAAGAATTAGAGATGAAGTTCAAAAAGATATCAATTTAAAAAAATAATAATATTAGAGTCATATTTTACAAAGACTTCTTAATTAAGTCATATACATAAATAATTTTATTATATAAGGAGATTTTTAATTTATATATAAAAGGAAATCTATTATTTTTTGAAAAATAGATTATAAATTTAACAATTTATTAATTTATCATATTGATCTCAAGTTAAAATTAACTAAAAATATTATTTAATTAAAGTTATTAATTTATCAAGTGTTAATTTAAAAAAAATTATTGTATATTTTTTGTTTAAATAACTAAAAAATTATTATTATTCTATCATGTATTAAACTATACAATTAAAATTAATTTTGCAATATTGAAGACAACTAAAGAAAAGGGGTGGCTTCTAGCCTTCTACTTTCTAGATACTTACGCAGATTTATTCTTTTGGAAGATCATTGAAAATTCAGAAGGGGTAGAGTGGTAACGAGAGGAAGAGTCAAGAGTGAAGAAGATTCGTTTATGCTAGACAGCAACGTAGATAATCATCGGACTGGTGTTCCACACGTGGCCAATAATGGAGTTTCTCAGGAACTAGCTGTCTTTCTAGAGGCCAACCAAGAACGAATTACCAGAAACAAAGTACAAACAAGGAAAGCAACAAAATGCAGAGCTGCTAATCGCACAACCAATTAAAATTTACCAAGTCATGGGCACTGGTGTCATTTTAACATTTGGTTGGCCAGTAAGCCTGCAACGTGGAGCATCGTCCAGAACTGGGAAGAAATGAAGAAGCAATGGGCCGAAAATAATTAATGAATAACACATGCTGAGGGCCAAAGTGATTTCTTGAGTGATAAGGCAACCGGTTTTACAGGTGCAAAACAAAAAATCCCATATTTTGGAAATTTCTCCTAGACAAACAGGCAAGCAAGAGGGGCACATTTTCCTCCTTGGTTCTTAACAGAAACAAAGAAGAGCATGCCGAATTATCTATCATGTAATTAATATAATTTTTAATGAGAGAAGGTCCACTACATTCCTCTAAGCTGATTGCATCATAAATATATAATAGTCACAAAGTAATTTCCATTGTTATCGTATATTCCTTCTTTCATTGCCGCATCATGAACAATCCAGAAAGCATGCCTAATCAAAGAGAAATCGCATCTAAATAACTATATCTTCCAAGCGGTGTAATCTCATAGGTTTGACATGAAAATTCAGTGAAAAAATCTCCCAAGATTTTTGTGATTAATAAAAGAGTTTGATTTCATTCAAACTCAGAGAGATTAGATCAGATTTTGACCAATTGAGACGTGCGGTACACGCACTAAGACCCAAAAGCCGAGTGGGTGGGTTCGTTTACCCTTTCTAAATTGTCTGTGGGGAGAGTAGGGGTCGCTAAATTGTATTAGTAAAAATAAGCGCAGGCGTAGCGTTGTTTTGACTTGGAAGCAGTCATATTGTATCTCAAAAGAAGCTCAGTCTCCACCCCACATCCCACTCCCCTCTTGCTCTCAGTTGACCGACTTCACTTCTTCCTACCAAACTCGCCCCCCCCACTCTTTCCCCACTCCCCTCTCCACTCCTTTCTATATAATCCCCTTACATCCAACCCGATTTTCACTCGCTCTCTCAAACCTCTCAAAAAAAGGAAAAAAAAAAAGGGTATCACTATTCTATCCTTTCTTTTCCATCTTTCTCAATCTTTCTCAAAGCTTGATTGAATTTCGAGAATTTGAAGAATATGGCTCTTGAAGCTCTGAATTCTCCTACCACTGCCACTCCTTTCAGCAATAAATATGAGGACATCGACAACAATTATCTCGAGACATGGAAGAAGGGCAAACGTTCGAAGCGACCACGGAGCGAGTCTCCTACGACTGAAGAAGAGTACCTTGCTCTCTGTCTCATCATGCTAGCTCGTGGATCCACCAACGATGATGATCATCCTCGTCAATTATCTTCCTCATCATCACCAGCGGCTGCTCCCGCGCCGGCTCCGCCAGCTTTGAAGTTGTCTTACAAGTGCAGTGTATGTAACAAGGCTTTCCCTTCTTACCAAGCTCTGGGTGGGCATAAAGCCAGCCACCGCAAAACCTCCACCGACGCTGCTACCACCAACGGGGATAATCCATCTGCCACCAGCGCCACTAGCGGTAGCGGTAGGGCACATGAATGTTCCATCTGCCACAAGACTTTCCCTACAGGCCAAGCCTTGGGGGGCCACAAACGCTGCCACTACGAAGGTGGCAACAATAACAACTACAACAACAACAATAACAAGTGTGGTAGCGTTAGCGTTAGCGTTAGTGGGGTGACGTTGTCAGACGGCGGTGCCTTGAGCCAAAGCCACCGTGTCGACTTTGACTTTGACCTGAACCTGCCGGCTTTGCCAGAGTTCTGTGGGGAAAACAAAGATGGAAGATTTAGTCAAATCTACGCAGAACAAGAGGTTGAAAGTCCATTGCCGACTAAGAAACCACGTTTCTTGATTACCAAGGAAGAGAAGCTGGAATCTTCTTTAGCACAGGATTGATTTTAGGATTTGTAGAATTAATTGAATTTACAAAGATGAATGATTTTATTTTTCCATTGATTCTGGGATTTGTATTTGATGAATTGTTCTGTACAGTGAATTTGTTCATTGTTTGTGAACTCTCCCTATTGTTGTCGGCTGCTGGCAATTCATTAATTCATTTTTAATTAAAAAAAATTATACTAAAACATTTATGTTTTGGATATGAACGAATGCTATTGCTGCTGAATATTCAAATAAGGCTCATTTCTATTTCCAACTTTTCAAGGGAAGCCAAGGAAAAGGTCAAGCTCTTTTGAGTTTTTCCCTAATAAAAAAGTACTAGCAGTACTTTTCAAATAAAAAAAGAAAGAAAGAAAAGTACTAGTAGTGTTTTTGTTAAAAAGAAAATAATAGGATGATATAATTTTTTTTTTATATAATGGAGTTAGCTAATTGTAGGCAAAGAACTTTGCCGCGTGAACAGCGCAGGGACAGCAGGCAAGAGATAGGCAGTCACGGCGGTGGTGTCCTTGAAGATAAAAAAACCAGCCCATGTTAGGGAGATGGTTCATAGTTCAAACTGCTAACTATCCCACGTGGTTAATGCTTTTAATGCACATGTTGGCATGATCAAATGGATCATCATAGTCATGGTGATAATAAATTACCACTGCAACATTTTTTGCGTGGCTTTAGGACACTTCGTTGTGACATGTTGATGCCCGACCAACATACTACAATTAAATTGATCCAACCCCTCCTCTCCTCCCCCACTTTTAGAGTCAATTCTGCTACTGCCAAACATGGTTTGGAGATTAGATCCAGCTCGAAGATTAGATATGGCATGTTTCAAGAAATTACTTGCACGCCAAATTTCTAGAAAACTATGGGTCGTCTCTAAATGGATTTTTAACATATTAATAGCCTTTGAAAAAGGAAAACAGAGGGGTAAAGATACGATGAAAGAAGTTGGAGTTGGAGGGTACTTTGGTATGATCAAAATCATGTGAATGTGATGGTACAAATTTATTACATTTTGCTCCAGAGTTACGCCGAGAATTTATCACCTTTTCCTCAAAATGGTCATTTTCTTTCAATCAACCTTAGCCTTTTTTCTTATTACTTTCCTTTCATTTTCATTTCCCACCGAATGCGGCCGTCAAAGGCTTCTCCGGGAATGAAATTCTCTTTACATGCCAACACTGAAACATTCAAGCTACGTTACTTGGGGTTTGTCTGTCCTACTTCTCCACGTAAATAACAAACAATTAAACAAAGCACTCCAGTTGTGTAAACGCCCTGCAATCGATACTGTACGTGATCTGAATTAAAAAGGCTTAACTTGAAGAAGTCCTCTACAAACTTGCGGGTGCCAACGCGTGGCGTGTTATCAGTGCCAGCTTTCATCCAGGCCATAATCCCAGAATTATAATATTTTATTTCCCATGGAATATTCTTCCCTTATCTGGTAAAACAAGGAAGCTAGAATTAGAATACATTTTCCTTTCTGGAGTAATATGGCAAGTAAATTCATAACCTTTTATAGACGTTTTAAGAGATAAGAAGGAGAAATTAAAGATCAACAGCCAACAGGAGAGGATAGACAGTTTGAAAAAGGAAGAATATTAAGCTTTTTTGGTATTGACATGTGCAGAGACAATGCGGGTTCCCTAGCTAGGTGAGTTTCAACACTTGTAGTTTGAATGATGCTAAAAGCAAAAAAAGAGAAAAAAAACAAGCAAAAAAAATTTTTAAGTGTTCTTTGCGTGTGGGAGGAAATTAAGCATACATGAACCCCAAAAGTTTATTATGTGTAAAATGTTCGTTAACGATGTGTATCAATTAAAATCGTGTGCCCACATATTATTCCTTTTGTTCATTTATGAAGGGTTTGGCATTTCACAGGGACTAGCTATCGGTGTTTAATTTTTGGGAATAATGAAAGGGAAAAAGTCCATGAAAAGCCTGAAAATGAATGACAGACAATCCAGAAAGGCATAAGAAACGTGAAATGAAAAGCACTGACAGAAACGATTCACTTGATCTCACAATCATTTCCTTTTCACAACTTTTATTTTAGTTTTCCCGGATTTTAATGTGGAACTCATTCCAATACGGTACAAAAAGCTGATCACTTGATTCTCCTAGTTGTATGGTTTCTCGACTTATATATGTCAAAACTCAGCATCAGGTGCCTTTGTCCTCCGGTGGCAACTGTTAAATAAATTAATTAAACCTAGTTAATTCAGTCAATAAGTGGAATTTTCTCACCACTCACTGATCCTTTTGCCTCATGCTCTCATCGTAATCTCACAAATAGGATTCCGATGGCTACCCACTTTCATTGGATAACCATGTTATTGCAAATCAACATAAGATGACCTTGGGTGGCAATGGCATGACCACCATCACAAGTTTTAAATGAAAAACTAAACAATCACTTATAAATTTAAATCAATGTAGGCCATATGAATATATTTTTCTTTATTGTAAGCAATAACTCGTGTTCTTCCATGATACGAGTATGAATGCTTTTTTTACATACTCAAGCCTATAAAATTGTATGTCTCTTTCAATTTTCCTTTTTGTTCTCTAAATAAAACGAGCATACACACTACAATTCTATTAGTTTTTAAATCTTATTTTTGCATTCTAACTACTCCTTAGTCCTTCCCAGCTCCCCCAATAAGTACCATATCCTTTTGAAGTTACCCTAACTTTACTAAATGAAGATCTATCACCATCTAAATCCATGCTTATTGCGAAAATGAGTTATTAAAAGGATTAGCAGCCTCATGAAATAAAGCTTAATACAAGTCACGACTCATGAATTCCCTGGCCTCACAGCAGTTTTTAAATTGATGCTTTTCATTTCGTATGGTCTAATCCAAAAACGAGAGCACTGTTAGGGACGGCGTTCCAGTTTGGCATGCAGCAGCTTACGAAAGAAAATTAATATAGCATGTTGAGGGAATGTCGAATGAACCAATGAACCTGAATCACTCGGTCACTAGGATGCTTCTCCTTGTTTGGATTTGAAGCTGCTTTGCAAATTGGCCTAATTTATTTGCAAGTGGCATTGTGGCGATTAACATTAAGATTAGGTCAGCTTTTGGACAAAGAGCAGGTTTCCAGACGTGACATATATAGTAACAATATAAATTTACTAGTCGAACACAGTGATCAGTACGTATGGCCCAACAATTTAGACACGTAGTTATCTCCGAAATGGACCATTTTTTTTTCTGGTGGCTAACAACCATTATTCTAACTTTTAATTTGTTTCTTTCACCATGGAAACTTCTTTGTCAGTTTCGTATCACTGTCTTCAACTGGAGGATAATGTGTTATGTATGGTGGATTTGATGCAACCCACGCAGCTTTGGTCGGTCTCAAATTTAATTTGGTTAATTAAAAGGGCATTTATGCTTTTCCAATTCTGATAGCAGTGATAACTGTATATCCGGTCCACCATTTGGAAATAATTTGTCTGATATGCATCTTTATGTTAATTACTATATATATTAATAGCTGAATAAAAGTAATAATCAAACAATAATTATAATGTCGGATTCGCACGGCGTCAGTGGCGCATGTCATTACACTATGGGCCTTACGATTTCCAACCAGCGAGAAGTTTTCAACTACGGTGGGCTTGCCAAAATTTCTTGGCTCGATTGGTCAATTCAAATAACCACAATGGATATTACCTAATCCGACCGCCCAAGTTTTCAAGACCCAAAGGCTTGAGAAAAATGTGTGATCCTTGGGTCAACATTTTATACTCTATTGTTTTACTTACCTCCACAAGCAACATAAATATCATATAATTATAACCATGATTAGATTATGATTATAATGATTATTTCCCTCGAATTCCTATGCATAAAAATTAACTTAGAGAAGAAGAAAAATGCATTTCTTCTATTTTTATAACAGAATACGTAAACATTCATTACATTGACGAGATGAGGAGAATGTGAGAATATAATTTTTATCAAGTAAAAAGGTAATTTTTTTTTATAAAAGAGTGTAATTAAAATAAATTTAAAATAACATATTTAAGAATTCATATGATCAATATAAACTTATTTCTATTGAACTGGTATCACTTGACTTGTGCTATCAAATTCAGTAATTAACTTATAAATATTTAAGAAGTTTTGAAATAAGTATTAGGAAAAAAAAATACACTGCGAAAGTAAAGTGAGGAATCTTCTCTACAGTTTTAATTAATTTAAAACAATTTAAAAAAGTTGCTCTGCAGAAATTAATAATAGCATGATCAGCAAGCGACAAGAAGTAGAGATGCAACAGGACCAGTTGAGTTTAAAGGGGGGAAGTAGTATTGTTCCATGCTAACATGCAATATCTCACTGATTAAAGGAAACTAGAAAAGATTGTGGAACTTTGAGGAGAGAAAACATGTGCAGCTGAAAGTCTGAAAGTTGGGTCCCTTGAGAGAACCTCTGCTTTGGCTGATATGTATGTATGACCTTTCTTGGAATGTCCTCTCATCATCATGTCTTTGTTTCCCCACCTTCTTTTCCAATAACATCAATAAGAATGACACCAATTCTTTATAGTGCATACAAAGATAGAGAGAAAAGAAAAAGCTCGTCACACTTGTGGTTTAACCCAAGGTCTCAACTGCATATTCAATTACTGTAGTGCAATCCGGTTTTTCTTTTTGGGAAATTGAGACCCAATTCTAATATTGTTATTCAATCTTTTTGTACACAAATGGTATGTAGCCTCATCTGAAAGCTATCTTCGGTGACTGTCAGTTTAGTCCTTATTTTGATCTTTTGTGCATGTGAAAGTCCATCTTTGCTGTAGGAAAGCCAATGGGGTTCTCGATCTTTTTATCCAGAAGAGTTACTAGTAATAAAGGACTTCATGAAATCCTCTGCTCCTCCTAGGATTTTACTTCATGTAATTACAGTTGATAATAACCTTAAGCTCTATAAGCGTTTTGTTTCCAATTTTATGAGTTTGGAATTTACTTCCATTTAGACTTGTAGTGAAAAACAAAAAGAAAAGGGAAGAAAAATAAAGGTAGTCCACAGTTTGGGTGGGAGGTTGGAGGTAAGATGTCAAGTCATTTCCCTATAGTGTGAAGCACTAGATAAAAAGTGACTGAACTCCTAAAAGCATTTGGGCCACACACTTCCAAAGATGTGAAAGTATCAACAAAACCATAATTGGGCTAAACAAAGTTTTAAGTTTGTTCGCTTTCTGCATGGTTTTGGTTAAGAACCCGGAAGCCCTAATCATCATTTCCTTTTCAGCGTGTAGCACCTTTGTCAAAAGCAAAAAGGAAAGGCCATCCCTGAGGCCCTTGGCCCATTCAACTTTATCAGCATGCAAGTGCCAACACAACCGTAACTGGGGCTCCAGAGTTAGTGATTCCTTTTGCGAGTGGGGTCTTCCATTCTTAGAATATTCTTCCAAATCATACACTACCATCACCATAGTAGACCCTATTTATTTCTATTGTGCTCTTCTTGGATCTCTTTCTCTCTTTTTTTGGTATCAATCTTATCACTCTCTAATCCGGACCTGAAATTTTCCTTCTTTCTTTCTTTCTTTCTTTCTTTGTCAGGATTGTCCCCACTTGACTTCCCAAAATAATTAGAAAGTAGCTCTGAGCTTTGAATTTCCATCCCAAAATGAGTGATCTTTGCAACCAACCACAAATATTTGTTGTTCTACAAGTTGATGTTGTTCCTGGAGAAAATCATTATGAATATAAAGTTGGAATCTTGGTTTGGTCAGATGCAAGTATCTTTAAATAATTAAGTTTAATATATAGATTTATCATGACATTGACTTGTGGTTAGCTTTAGCTGTTTATGTAATGAAGGTATAAAAGAATAAATATTATAGTATAAGGGCATGATGTCATCATGTCAACATGCTCACATTGCCACTCATTCATGATCTTGTCAAATCGTATATCAAATGTTCTGAGGACTCAAATTTCATATTATTATTACTATTAATTATGCGATTTTTATTTATTAAATCAAATGATATTATAGATTGGGATTTTTAAATGCCTGCAGTGCCCGGATTGCTGAAAACCCTGGCTTTCTTTTTCTATATAATTCATTTTGAGTGCATTCGTACTTGGTCTGAGTTTAAAAATGATTCCATTTCGATCTACTGTAGTATCTTAATGGTGAAAAGGAACGGAAAACATGGGTTCGTTCCCATTGGTGGTGGTCCAGCCTATGAATTCCATTTTCTGCATGGAAAGGGGGTAGCCTTAATTAGAACCAATCTAATGCTTCGACAATCTGACACATGCGATTTTCTCCTTCATGTATGCTTGCCTTGTGAGCTGTGTGACTGACTCTGTCTCTCCCGTTGGGTAAGTTGATACAAAGATTGAGAAACAAGCAAAAGCATAGAGGGTCAACATTTTCCAAAGGGTAACACGCAAGCAATTAATTAACAAAACGTAAATTTCGTAAAAAGAATAATAAACTCTTGAGATAATTTATCGAAAAAACATGATTACAGTATCTACTTAATTATTTCGATGTACTCATTAATCAAATACTTTATCTGGAAGAAAAAGATCAAGGCCATTTTTTTAGTGATGGATATGGATCCATGTGACATATGGTATGATGCATGGCTATGCGTAGAGTGTGATGGTTGGCATGATTAGAGGGTATAGGTCTTGACAGGGAAAATGAATTTGATCTACTACGATGGCATCGGTGCCCATGTGCTTTGTGTTCGACGACCAAGTAACCATTTACTATCCTTTGTTTGTTTTTTCACTACGTAGTAGACCTATGAGTTGTACAAGCAGTATCTTTTGATCACAATACCTTAGCTAGACATTTAGGTTAAATTATATGATCTGGTTTCTGCCACTGTCACTCATCTATTTCACTTTTGTCCCCCCATACAAGATCCTATGGAACCACTTTTTTGCTTATTAAACGACATTACATTTGATTCATCGTCTTGGTGAGATGGAAATTAAATATGTATATAGATTATTGATTGAGAAATGAAAATGTACATGCATGGACAATGAGAAGAGATATAAAGGAGTACATATAGAGATGATAATGGTATTGGGTTTGGGAATCACGGGCATCCATACAAACTGAAGAAGATAAGGATTCTTGAAGTAACGCCATGGGTTGGCAAATATGGGCAAGCAAATCAAACAAAGTTGCAAAAAGCATGTGGGTGGGTCAAAGTTGGAGAGATTGGGGGACCTCTTTTCCACATCTAGCATATGACCAGAAGCTAGAGTTTTTATTCCTTTGAGAAACTGTGTTCAAAATTAGGCATGTAGGACCCCCTTTTTATATGAACACCTCTCTTGTATGATGATCATAATCCATCCGTTTGACAATTTTTTCTCGAGAAAATCCCCCGACCACGCTATGATTCTTCTTTTTTTGTTTTTGGTAAACTTCTGCCGGTTAATTGTTAAAATCAGGATTTAAAACCTTTTATATTTTGATGTATTAGAACCAAGCTTTTCATTTATTTCCAAATCAAAATTTCAGTCGTTAACAAAGGAAATTGTCAACCTGAATGTTTTAAGTGTATGCTTATGTGCAGGTTAAACCTTACACCAACTAATTAAGACAGGCTTTTTAGTAGTCAAGGCACCACAAAATGGTGATGGTTTTACAAGTCAATCTTACAAATGAAGAGGTTGAGCATACCAATGTTGATGGAGTTACAAATGGTGATGGAGAACAATACCAACCCGAATTGCCCAAATGAAGAGGTTGAGCAACCCCATGACAACAAAAACTTCAGTTCTGACCTTTTCAGGATTTGGAGTTCATTGGGGTAAATTGGGTTTAACAATTATTAGTACGGTTGAGGTTAATTGTGATAATTGATCCCATTCTTCGATGGTAAATTTATTGCTAAAAATTTTAAGCGTATCATGCTACATGATAAAAAAAATAACATGTTATCTTGTGAGGTTAATTGTTTATATGAGTTAAAGCACCAGGTGTAAAAAATAATATCAAATCTCGAAAAGTTAAAACTATGATTTAAAACAAGTCAAAAGTTTGATCTTAATATAAGCAATATGTCAAATATTAAATAGTGATTTGCGTAATTAGTTAATTCTGCCTAAAAATACCTTCTCCGGGTTTGAATATTTGGTTCATATCAGTAGACAGGGAATCAAGTGTTTCCTAAGAAACCCCAAAACTTTTATTTGGATAGAATATCTAGTTGTAGGATCCACAGAAAGTGGTACAGTCAGCATCATGTGTGGGAGTTTAGCTACCTCTCTTAATCTATAAAGGGAAAAAGAAGGAGTGAAAGCCTCAAAATGTGGTGAGAATACGGTGATTATAAAGGCCAAAGAAATCTTGCACTTTTATAGGGAAGTGTTCAAATGGGAATATGAAATGTTCTAACCCAATTTTATATTGAAACATGCTGCCTGTCTTTGTTGATTTTGGTTGGGAAGAGAATTCTTTGGCGTCAGGGATATCATGGGATTATAAATGAAACAGCTTAGCTTTCTCATCTGTGAGACAAAGGAAGATACTAGCAGGTTGGCTTGTTTTAGCTTAACTGGTTATTTAATTGTCAAACAGCTAATGTAGTTCTCATTTAACAATTTGAAACTACGCACAAATTACACACTCAACAAGAAGATAGTTATGGAAAAAGTGAAATAGAAGTGGCATGGTAACTTTTTTCTAGTTCGGTTATGGTCTGAATGTACTCACAAATGGTAATGGTATATGAAGGTATAAATAATAAATTCACTAACAGTACAACTTTTGACATCTTATTTTGCAATAGAAAAAGTAAAAAGAAACCCAGTCCTTGAAAATTCTCTTAAGATAAAAGATTGGGAGTTTGTGATTGCAATGGTACTGCAACCGAAAAAAGGGATATTCATTCTTATCAAGCTCCTTTGAATTGATGGGCCCGATGGTCGTGAGACCAGCCTTTTACCTTAGGTTGCACTCATCTAACCTCTTAGTTAGAATGGCTCTTCTTCTGTTGGAGTGGGAAGGAAAGAAAAAAAAAAGTTAGATGTCTCTTTTAGCATGACCTAATATGCTATAATTGAACTTGGTTGTTCCCATTCATTATACTTAGCTTTAAATACTTCTGCAACTGTTGTTAATAATTCTTGCAAATACTATATAGCAAGTAGGATGGGCAATAATTCAAACGACAATAATTTTCAATGAAGGTTTAGAGAAGCTCCTAAATCTTTAGTAAGCAAAACCCTTCAATCAAAATGTGACACAGGATTTTTTTGATTTCAAGAATAAGCTGTAGTATAAGGTTTAACTACAACTAACCAAGAATAGCTTACTTTTCACACATTCTTGCTTTTAAAGTATATCCTGAATTCCAACAGCAACATACAAAACCATCTTTGGCATTTAGCCTAATGGTGAATCTCATGCATCCTGCAGATTTTGACACACTTTCAAAGAAACGAACTTTTTTTTTTTTCTCTTCTCCTTACCCCACTGTTTGGTCACGATTTCACTGCAATGAAAGGGACAGTATAACTCGTGTTGGAAAGAGACTTTTTATTTTCCTTTGTTTTTTGGGCTGAATTCTAATAAAATTCCTCCCTTTTTTTTTCTCTGAGGAACAGGTCTTAAATAGAGTAAAGGAGAGACAGTGATGGGTTAATTAGCAAGCAAGTAAAGAGAAGCCATTTAATAAAAAGAGGGTGGCAACAAGAAAGCTGTGTGTCAGTTATTGGCGTACATAACTGAGCTAGATGTTGAGTGTGTTAATGCCAACCTCCTCTCCCAAAAACTGAATGAAATTAAATCTACTTTCTTCACCAATATTAACAAAGAGAAATACACAAAGCAACAAAGTTAAAGTTTTTATAGTAGTAGTGCTAGTACGAAACACACAGATAAAACATTTGGCAGCAGCTTGGCTTTTAGTCCAAAACAAAAAAAAAAAAGTTGAGTTTTCTTTGAATTTGTACTTTGATAGATTCTACTGGAAATGAATAAACAGGTTATTTACTGATGGGCACTTGTAGGTTGTTCTTTTTAGTTTTTGGTTTTTGTGGGTTTTGTGTAAATTTTGTTACTCCCTTGGGGTTTGGTACTTTTTAAACGGACTCAAATGCTCCTGCATGGTTCCTGTGTGCTCATTACTGTTCATACGTTTTGTACTGTTCAGTTGAGGCACAAACTCAAACTCATTGCAGTGGGGGTGTAAGTTTCTTGGTAAGTTATGATTTGCCATTCTGAGTTTGTTATGGGATTTGCTTCTTGCTTGAGATGGTTTTGGTTTCCAAGGCTTGCTTGTGCCTTGTGGCTCATGCTTAAAATGGGATTCCTTGTTTTGCTACAATGGAGAAGGTGGTTATTTCATATTTTAACTTAAATGGGCTTTGTAGATTTGATACAAGGGTCTTGGGTTTTGTTGGGGTTTACACGGGGAGTGGCTTTTGGGGATTGTCTTTACTCTTTTGGCTTCCAAGTTGATTATGGGCATTTTCCCATCTTCCAATTCATGTGGGGTTTTGGGATTTTACAGCATAAATCAAAGTATGATCTTGAGTCTTGACATTATGTTATTTAATTAGATTTCTGGGATATATTCTGGTAGATTCCTCAGATTTCAGTTTTAAGTTTTTGGTGATATTGTTGTTCGTAGTTGATGTTTGATTGTTCATTAATATAATGACTTTATTTTTGTGATCTTTTTCAGTTATTCCATGCTTTGAAAAAAAATAAAGATAGATGCTTGTTGTCTGCCGTTTTGGTGGTTTCTTCAACTGATACCAAGATGCTGTTTTCCGTTGCAGGATTTCAGACTTCAACGGTAAAAAAAAACTATATGTTGATTAATATACGTCAAGTTTGGAACTTGAAGGGTTTAAAGAACCGCAAGAGGTCCTGGTGATATGAATCTTTATGAACTTAAAAAAAAAAAGCGAAAACAAAGGAACAGAGTAATCAGACAGAGAAAG